AAAATAACAAATAACAATATATTTTTAACCTTTTTTGTTACAAAAGAGTAAGGTTAGTGTACTTAAAATGGACAAAAATAGCATATTTGATATTGTTACTATAGTCTAATTCTTTTATTATTTTTTATTATTATTATTGGACGGGAAAATAATGCTTATGATCCAACAACAGTTTGGGGGCTCAGGTCTCTGCTTTTGGTATTTTGAGGGTAAAAGGCTGAAAAGTTTGGGAACCACTGCATTAGAATAAAAGACCTTGAGACATACGGGAATCCCTGATAAGCACTTAATTTATCAGTTACCTATTCAAGTTATTTGTTTTCATTCATGTGGAATGATTCATTCATTGCCATATGATTGTGCACTAAACGTATCAACCTCTAACATTAGCTTTGCTTACAGAGGTGAAACCTCAGTTTGTATAGGATCTGTTTGCCTCAGCAACATGAGCTTACGCTCCATTGAGTTTCAAAAGAGGTATTTGGCTTTGCCTTAGTGGATGTGAGACCCCCCCCCGCGGTCCACCACTCTGGATGCTTCCAGACTACTTGATACCAGTTTTATTGGCAAGCGCTTCTCAGTTTTCTTTCTAAGCATGTGTGTGTGTTTATTACTTTGGCTATGGCAAGTAGTCGTTGTAGATGCTAAATGGTTCTCCTGTCTCTTCAGACACCAGTGAGGGACCGGAGCAGAACAGGACGGGATCCGTGCTGCAGACTCTGGAGTAACATGCTGCCCTGCTGTGCAGTCAGAGTGTGCCATGTGCTTATGTTGGTGCTGTGTCTGTCTGCGGCCGAGGACTTCGATTGGACAAAGAACAACCATGACTCCTTCTATTATGGCACTTTTCCAACTGGTACGCAAAACCTGGGCTGTATCCTTTTAAGTTTGATACTGAGGGCCMTATATGAGCACTGTAAAGGCTGATCCTGATTACTGTATTTCTCAGGATTTTCATGGGGTGCCGGAAGTTCAGCCTATCAAACAGAAGGAGCCTGGGACAAAGATGGAAAAGGACTGAGCATCTGGGATGTGTTCAGTCACAAGAAGGGCAAAATCCAACAAAATGACACCGGGGATTCMTCCTGTGAGGGCTACTACAAATTCAAGGTGGGATGTTAGTAAAATATGCAGAAATCAGACGAAGATGATAATTTGGGAGAGCACAGATGGATTTGCATGTATATTTTTTTACAGGATGATACATCTCTGATGAAGGAGTTGAAGCTTAACCATTATCGTTTCTCCATCTCCTGGCCCAGAATTATTCCCACTGGTGTAAAATGTGAGTGGCTGCTGCTAATTTAAACTATTTGAAGCCAAACTGACACAAGTGATTTCATTTATCCAAACTCTGACCTTCTTTTCAGCTGATCATATAAATGAAAAGGGAATACAGTACTACAATGAATTAATTGACCACCTGCTGGAGAACAAAATTACTCCCATTGTYACATTGTATCACTGGGATCTTCCCCAAGTTAGTATCACAGACCACCAATAACTTAAATCCTGATTTTTTTTCTTTACTACAATCTATTGTGTTTTTGAATATTTTTTTAGGTTTTACAGGAAAAATATGGTGGGTGGCAGAACATAAGTATGATCAATCATTTCAATGAATTCGCCAACCTGTGCTTTGAGAGATTTGGCAATCGAGTGAAGTACTGGATCACTTTCAACAACCCATGGGTAGGTTTTTGTGATATGTATTTTTGCATGAAACGAACACTAAACATTTCTGAATWTAAATTCAAAGCGTTTGATTTGTAATTACAGTCTGTAGCAGTTGAGGGCTACGAGACAGGAGAACACGCTCCAGGACTGAGGCTCAGAGGAACAGGAGCTTACAAAGCTGCACATCACATAATAAAAGTAAGAAGTTGCAGATGTTGAACCATCTAAACTTGAGAAGAATGAGTTGATCAGTAAACTAAAATGGATTTTTTTTTTCTTTTAGGCACATGCTAAAGTTTGGCACACTTATGATACACTGTGGAGGGGGAAACAACAAGGTAAGCAACAATGGAAAATAATGGGTTTACCCTGTGTTGTAAGTTTGTTGAGAACTGTTGTGTTTCTGCTCAGGTCTGGTTGGCATCTCTTTGTCGGGGGACTGGGGTGAGCCGGTGGACATCACCAACCAGAAGGACATYGAAGCAGCTGAGCGATATGTCCAGTTTTACCTGGGCTGGTTTGCCACACCTGTCTTTCATGGAGACTATCCTCAAGTGATGAAAGACTTTGTTGGTGAGATAAACACTAAAAGTAATATATAATACATAGAATAATACTGTTGTTGCCTGTRTTTGTGTCTGTTCTTTATCAATATATCTCATTAACCACCAAAAAAATTTGAAACTTGCAGAAACTAATCAGTAGATGTACGTCTACTTCTCATTAAACTTTGGAGTCAGTCCAATTTAAGATGGCCACCACAGTCAACTGGCATTAAAGAAAAATACAGGAATGACTATAATTCAAGTCAGTTTTACAGATACTGGCCTAATATTTGATGTGGTAAAAGCTAAGACTGAACCAAAAGCTAAGACTGAACCTCAACATACACTCATAGGCCACTTTATTAGGTACACCATACTAGTACTGGGTTGGACCCCCATTTGGCTTCATTAATCCTTTGTGGCATAGATTCAACAAGGTACTGGAAACTTTCTTCAGAGACTCTGGTCCATATTAACATGATAGCATCACACAGTTGCTGCAGATTTGTCCGCTGCACATCCATGATGTTAATCTCCTGTTCCACCACATCCCAAAGCTGCTCTATTAGAGTGAGATCTGGTGACTGTGGAGGACGTCATTCAATACTATGAGCTCATTGTTGTGTTCAAGAAACCAGTCTGAGATGATTCACACTTTATGACATGGCTCGTTATCCTGCTGGAAGTAGCCATCAGAAGATGGTACACTGTGGTCATAAAGAGATGGACATGGTCAGCAACAATACTCAGGTAGGCTGTGGCATTGACACGATGCTCAGTTGGTACTACTGGGCCCAAAGTGTTCTTGGAAAATATCCCCCGCACCATTGCTCCACCACCACCAGCCTGAACCGTTGATACAAGGCAGGATGGATCCATGCTTTCATGTTGTTGACACCAAATTCTGACCCTACCATCCAAATGTCACAGCAGAAATCCAGACTCATCAGACCAGGCAACGTTTTTCAATCTTCTATTGTCCAGTTTTGGTGAGCCTAATTGTAGCCACAGTTTCCTGTTCTTAGCCGACAGGAGTGGCAGCCGGTGTGGTCTTCTGCTGCTGAAGCCCATCTGCCTTAAGGTTTGACGTGTTGGTGTTCAAAGATTCTCTGCATACCTCGGTTGTAACAAGTGGTTATTTGAGTTACTGTTGGCTCGAACCAGTCTGGCCATTCTCCTCTGACCTCTGGAATCAATAAGGCATTTGCGCCCACAGAGCAGCTGCTCACAGGATATTTTCTCTTTTTTGGACCATTCTCTGTGAACCCTAGAAATGGTTGTGGGTGAAAATCCCAGTAGATCAGGTGTGCCTAATAAAGTGGCCTGTGAGTGTATATTCTGAGCACTAAGAGATTGTGAAAGATCTTTGATTAAAAATGTTGACATTAACTATTTGGAGTCAACGCCGTCTTTTAGCAAAATGTCTCCTAAATCACTGGTCATGATTTAATGAAACTTTCAGAAAAAATAATCATTTGRTGTTCATTTCCGACTGATTATCTTTACAAACTAACCCAATTGAAGGTGGCCACCACAGCCAATAGATTATAGAAAACACAAAAAGGGCAATAATTCTGTTGATTTTACATATATTTTACTAAATTCTGGTGTATCAGAAAACTGAAATATGAGTCATTGCAAGGTCATTCTCAAGATCATCTTGGGAGCCACTGGACAAATTTAAACAAAAGYAATTTGATGTATTTTCTACAACTAAGTTTGTAAATCAATCCTAGTCAAGATCGGTGCCACAGCTAAAGTTAGCCAATGCAGAAATAACTAAAATTTATTGAATTTAACATAGTTTGACCAAAACAGCTATAACTCATCGAAAAATTGTGTTAGCCTAAAACGCTGGCATGAAAGGCAGCAGGCGATTCCTTCAAGAAATGCTGGACCTGCAATTTTACATTATAATTATTAATTACAGAGGAGTTACCGAATTCCTTCTTCTACCTGTGTTCAGGGAGAAAGAGTGTCCATCAGGGACTGGGGACGTCTCGGCTGCCCATGTTTTCTCCTCAGGAGAAGAGCTACATGAAGGGGACCTGTGACTTCCTTGGAATAGGTCACTTCACCACGCGGTACATCACCCATAAGAGCTACCCATCAGGCCGAAGCGGCACCAGCTACTTCACCGACCGTGACTTGGCGGAGCTGGTGGACCCGCGGTGGCCCGACCCTGGATCAGAGTGGCTCTACTCCGTGCCCTGGGGCTTCAGACGTCTGCTAAACTTTGTCAAGGTGACTCGCTGTGCAGTAAAACACGGAGAAGATAGCTCTCTGCTGCATTTAACGTGATCTTTGCTGTGCTTGTAGACCCAGTATGGGAACCCAATGATTTACGTGACGGAGAACGGAGTCTCTGAGAAGATGTCCTGCACAGAGCTGTGTGACGAGTGGAGGATACAGTATTATAAAGACTACATCAATGAGATGCTGAAAGGTTGAATGAGTTCATGGGTAAAAACAAAACAAGCAGAGTTGAACTCAAAATTCTCATCACATATTTCTGTCTTTCAGCTATCAGAGATGGGGTCAACGTGAAGGGCTACACCGCCTGGTCCCTGCTGGACAAGTTTGAGTGGGATGAAGGGTACTCAGAAAGATTCGGCCTGTACTATGTGGACTTCAGGAATAAAAACAAGCCTCGCTATCCCAAAGCTTCGGTCCAGTTTTACAAACGCATCATCAGCTTCAATGGATTTCCCAATCAGAGAGAGGTGAAAGACGCTTGTCTCAATGAAAAGATTTCCATCCAACAAATCCACTCCTTTCATTCTTTCATCTTATAAGTCTGTGATCAATTTGTGCTTGTCGACAGGTTGAAAACTGGAGGAGGAAGGCTGTGGAGACCTGCTCTTCTAGCAATCAGCTATTAGCTGCAGGTCAGTTTGATGTTTGTCAGTGGAAACAGGTAAACTAGCTGGGGTAAACAAATGAAGATTATAGCTTCAGTAAATCTAAAATCAACAGAATGAACAAAAATACTGTATCAATTTAGTTTCAGTGATTGTTTCTGTTCAAACATACACAAAAACACAATAATTGGTGGAAATGTAAAAACTAAAGCCATTCGAGCAAATATCTGAGATATCTTCTTTGTTTGCCCCTCCAGCTAGAAGAGAATCCAAGGAACATGCAGAAATGCCAAAGGTTTGGCCAGTGCATGATGAAGTTTAGAACCTCAGGGTACATATCTCATCTAACACTTACTGTTGCTTTACGATTGCGTGGCTTTAAATCTGACTAACAAGCATTTGCAGTTTAATGCTAAAAATCATGGCTTTAAAACAGGTTTGTACATCTGATGTTTGACCTGCAACATTTTTCCTAATTTATAGCCTCTTAAGTCTAATTCGCATTCTTCAATCTTTTTTTATTTTATTTCACAGGTTTCTTTATAGAAAAAAACTCAAATTAAAATTCAGTCAGGTCTGCATAAGAATATTTTTAAACAAAAATCCAGAATATGTTTATTTAAATTTCCTTTTAGCGACAGCCAGGCTAGTTTTCTTTTCTCATATTCTTTCCAGGCCTGTACCTCTCTGTGAGCTGAGAGGAACTCCAGGACAGATGTGGGAATTACCATAAATGTGAGAAAAGCTGTACCACCTTAAATAAATTACCATAAATCAGAGGTCTTCGACCCTGTTCCTTGTGACCCACTGCCCTACATGTTGTAGCAGTTTCCCTGCTTAGACAGTTAAAAATAATTTAATTACCTACTCAGTTTAKCAGAAGCCTGTCAATCACTCATTCATTTCAGTCAGGTGTGTTGAATGAGTCAAAGCAACGCTCTGGGTATGTTTTCGATGAGGGAATGACATTATAACATGATATAAAGCTAAAAATAAAATGATTTTGTATAACTGCATTGTTGTACAAAAGCTGCATTGCATATAAAATGAATAACTGTAAATGCCAAAAAAGCTACTCCTAAAATAAATTACTGTACATGTAGAAGCTATGCCACCTAATAGAAATTACCGTAAATGTGGAGAAAACTGCACTGCATAAAATATATTACTGTAAATTGTAGAAAAGCTGTATCATCTAAAATTTATCATTAGCATTAGAAAAGCTGTGCTGCATAAATTAGTAAAGTAAATTAAATTAAATTAAATGCAGGAAAACATTTGCTGCCTGAAAAAAAGGACCATAAATAAGGGGGAACATTCAAAATTATAAATATATACTTAGCACAAAAAGTAAGGACATCTGTGTTTGGACCTGATTGTCAGCACCTGGGGGTACCAGAAGCTCAAAACGAGTGTCAATAGCAACATAAAAAAAAGCAGTTTGGCAGAAAAGATTGGGCAAATTTTGCATGATCCTTAAAAATGTGGCACCATTTAAAAAAGGAAATTAACAGAACAAGAAGCATTGCTACAACAAAAAATAATCTACCAAACACAAATTTCCTTACTTTTTGTGCTACATTTATATTTATAATTTAATTTGACATATAATCCAGGTCCAGGTAAGACTTCACTCAGTTACAGCATTGGACCACGGTCCACCATTTGGAGATCCTACTCCAATCGATAGCTCAAAGACTATCTTTTTAAATCAGGATAATACTAACAACTGAATTTTTTAGTGAAACCTCTGATGTCAGTCTGAGCTTTGCTTCCTGATTGCTTATAATTTAAGTGCTTTGGATTTTAATGGTTTTCTTGCCTACAAAGCATTAAATGCTGCTGCTGTGTTCTAAAATGCATGCAGTTCTCAAAGGGTTAAAGTGTCAGTAATCCCTTCTAAGTACTTTCTCTTCTTTCATTAGAGGAACAGCGGAGTACTGCTGCCAATATTCTAAGACTAATACATGGTAAGGAACCCCTCACAATAAGTTAGACAAAAAGTATGATTATATTTAAGCGATAAGTGTTAACCCTTTGAGTGCTGTGCTTGAGCCGTTTTGCTCGATTTATTAACTGTGTCCGCACCATCCGATTACTGCAACACTTTTGTAATGAGTGTGTTTGTGTGTGTGTGTTTTGCAGACCCGCTGACCAGCCACATGGAGATGGTAACGGAGATCGTTGTTCCCACGGTGTGCACACTCTGCATTTTGCTCAGTGCCATCTTCCTCATGTTCCTGCTGAGGAGGAACTAGACGGTGTGTTTGGTCACAAAAGTTGACGCACGGTTTCTACGCACTTGAACGCATGCAGTGCAACATTTCTTTCAGTTTTTCTGTGAGCACGTTACGCAGTTTTTGAGGTGAATTTAATAGATTACTGATGTGACTAATTTGATGTGTTTGAGATGTTGAATTTAAATGCAGACAAACTGTTTTTTCACCTGCAACTTGTAAGATTTTCCTGTTTTATTATTACTATCTGCTGTAGAATACTGTTGTTATAAACAACCTGTTTGATCTACTGTGTTTTTATCAGGAATAAAGAGAATTTGGCAAAACTCCTCTTCCAGATCTCTTTCAGCTGCCACCAYGAACAGTGTTCATAAAGAAAATATGGTTTCAATAAAGACTGGAATCGATTAAGTTTATTAACACAAACAACATACTGACAGGTATACTTTAGACTTTTAAGGAGGTTAAATGATTTTGGCCTGTGCTATAAGTTTTTCATATGTTAATTTCTAAATGAAAGTCTCAAATACCAACACGCACAGTGTTGTGTATTTGTGCGCTTTGTAAACTCAGGTAAAGCTGACAAGGCTGCAGCACACCATGGTGGAAAAGAAAGCAGGCTCCTCGCTGTCCCCATTGACGGTTTCATTCGGGTAATCTAAACAACAAACACAAAATYGGGTTATTTTTACTTTATTGCTGTAGCTAATAACCTAAAACATTTTGACCGGAACATACAAATCACCTGTTTCAAAGATGACGTGATCAACCAGCGGTCTGTCACTAAGCTGTAAGGATGTCCTCACCTCACGAGGACCGTGGCCACTGGCGATCTCCACCCTCCACGTTAACGGATGCTCTCTGTGGGAAAGATTTACAAACAGTCACGAGAAGTTGTAACAAATGGGTCCATTCTATTGTATTAGATGGTTATTATTGTCCTAAATACTACTGCATTAAAAAAGCACAAGTAATCTGTTGAATTTGAATATATGGGGGAGCCTGAAGTGCAAGATTACAATAGAAAACTGAGTAAAAAAGAACTTTACATAATTCCACAAGCTGACTAAAACTCATGAATGAGGCTAAATGCAGCATCTGTAAACTTAATCATAGCTAGAAAATAAACACGCACACTGGTCAACACAAAGAAATTGTCAAAGTTTTTTTCAGCTGACTTAGTAATATTTTGATTAACTGAATCCAAAACTCACATTTGTTTTGCTCCATCAGGTCAACTTTTGAGCTATAGGCATATCTTGTTTTTTTTTTACGATTCTGTTTACATGCATTTTTTAATTTCATTTCAGTTTTATTTATTTCATGTTCTAGAGATGAAATTGTTTACTTCAGGTTTCCTACAGCTTAAGGAAAGTAAAATTTAAAACTTTTTAAGACCTCTTTAATGCCACTTGAAATWAAATTTAAGGCCAACTTCACAACCAACACAAATGGAAAAGAACCCCAGTGTGACGGCCCTGCTGCACCTCCTGCTTACAGCTGATTAGACTGGCAGGTGCCTTCTATCAGGTGTGCTTCCTTTTAAGGTCCTGAAGGGGAGGAGTCGAGAAGACCTGAGCCTGTCTTAGGTAGCACCTGGTGTG